ATGGAGAGAGTTTGGCCTTGAACGTCCCTCAAGAAATATAAACTTACCCTCATTCAAATCTTTGAGCCAGTGACGACGAGCCTTGGCATTCATGGCTGTGAAGCCTAAAATTGAATTCTTTGATTGAACATGGCAGAATTGGCGGCACGTTCAACCTTCAGTTTCCGATCTTTGAGGCAAGCAATTGGATTGGCTGTGCAAGGGAAAGGCTTATATTCGACTGTTCCAACCAGATTTACTAGGAAACATGGGTGTTTGAGTGAGATTCTGACTGGAATCGAAACATTAGAGGAAATTCAACTTACATACAAGCTCATTTAGCTTCCCACCCAGTTCCTTCTTATCAATGTCGGATTGGTTGGTTGATGCCTGCTTTGCAGGTAGTCCATTCTTAGCAGAAACAGCTTAGATATCTTCGAATAGCGATCCATGTTGACAATAAAGTTGAAAAACCCGCGGCAATTGTGCCTTTTCACCAACCCACCGAACAATATCCTCATTGCTACTATGTTCTCGGCACCATCCTTCCCCTCCATTGTTACTACATGCAATGATATAGTAATCCATTCCTAACTGTTGACGATCACGTTCAAGCTATCATCAAAGTGAAAGAGCGTCAGATGTATTCAATTATGAACTGAACAAATATATGAGAAGACATACTTGTTGCGCTATCTTCTTAAAACTCAGGAGAGAACGTTTTTCCTCCTTGGCAGCAGAAGACGCAGATTTATTAAGCTCCCAATCCCTGTCCACTTTCTTCGTATTCACTAGTTTGTTGTAGATAGGCCGGTATCGAAGCTCATCTGCTTCACTGAGTTTGGGGACTTCAGGAATAAGAACGGCAGCATCGCTAGAGTCGTCGTCTGAGAAAGTGATGGCTGAATAATCAGGATAACCACCGAGAGCAAAGAACATCGGTGATTTGAACACGGCAAGTTCGTCTAAAGTGAGCGCGTCATAAGCACGTTTGTTGGCTTTATTGCGAGCTGCCAGAATGGCTGCTGAATTTGGGTCTCCTTGAGTTGGCACTGAAACATGAGACGATTAGACTTTTAGACAAGATTAGTGTAATTAAAGATACGTACTTGGTAGCTTGTTGGCATCCTTAGCAAAACTCAGCCACTTATGCCAAGGATTATCGGCATGTGTCGCACCAATAAGTCCCCTGAAGAGTAGTTTCTGTTAGTAAAGTTATAAATCTTGATGAACAAATAAAAAAAACTTACAAAGAACGTTTCAAAGTGAGGATGTTGATATGAGAAACCATCGCAATCATGTGAAGGGATATTTCTAAACGTTCGAGAACCGCCTTACCTTCAGCAATAACAGCTTCACTGATCTGGTGGTTGGACGATTTCTGACGATTGAGTTGGTCTGCAATGCGTCCGAGAGGCCAGTGTTTTATTACTTGGTGATAGTTTCGCAAATTGATCTCATGGACATCTAGATCTAATTCTGGTTCATCAGTAGGCGCAGATAGCGGTGGTTGGATTTGATTCGATCGAACTTGTGGTTGCTGAGAAGCTGCCGGTGTGGGTAAAAGATTCATATCTGTGTTGGCGGAAGCTGAAGAAGCATGTTGGTGTTGAGAAGTTGTGACAGCCGGTTGACGACGTGAGCGTTTAGCTGCAGGTAATGCTGAATTACCATCCGCGATGGCAGCGTTAGAACGTGTGGTTCGGCGAGTACTAGAAGGCATCGTGATCACTGATAAGAGATGGGTTATGCTGGGGATTTTTCGATTAGATGGATAAAATGTAGGGAATCAGACGGTCAGACCCCAATGAATTTCGTGTTTTGAAAAACACCATATGTACATCACACAACATGTGTAGAAATCAACTCCGCGCGGCCGGACCAGGTCTTTGTTTTGTTTTTCTGACGCTGGCACTGCAAAAAGGACCATATCTTATCACTTGTTATCATATCCCTCCTTTACCATATCACTCCTTTGACATGGTTTGATTTCCTTGTGAAATCAAATAACCCTTGCACTCGATATCCACGTCTTCGCGTGTCCTGTGCAAGGTTTTTACCTCAAAGTATGGATATATTCACTTGCATCTACCATTATTCCATAAGTAAATCTTAAGTAGGTTCTATCAATGTTACAATCTTATGATCTAATTTGGCCTCTTGTCCTATAATCAGTGTAGATGGACTGTAAAGTGCGGGGAAATGCTTTTTTAAGAACAAAAAGGAAAGAAGGGTATG